ACCAAAACCAGCCACCGGGACCAAGCTATACTGCGACTGGCACAGGTCCCAGGGCCACACGATGGAGACCTGCAGGGCTTGCTTCCGCGACCCCAAACACACCGTGTACACCAAAAGGGAATGCAAGGAGAAAGACAAGCTGGATGCCAGGACAGCCAGTGCTGTCCTCCCATGCGCAACGTGCCAGAAAACAGGACATCATGCCAAGGATTGCACGCAGCAGGAGGGAAATGGCCAAAGGGAGTAGGCCTGGCGGCACTCTGCTTCCTCAACACGGTTGCCACAGCATCAGACCCTATCCTCATCCAGGTCTCCATTGGCAACGGCCACTGCAACGCGATGATCAACACAGGGGCATTGCACTCGTTCATCAAACACCGCTGGGCCATGGACCATGGCCTCACGTTCATCCCGACAGACGTTGTGGTATCTACTGCCAATACCACCAACATCCGCATCATGGAGTGGGTACAGGTCAACCTACTCATTCATGACCGGCCCTACCCAACCTCGCTGTGGGTCCTGCAACGCGCGGCTCACCACATCATTGTGGGCCGCGATCTCATGAGCCAGCTCCCCCTCACCATTGGACTTGAGGGCAACCAGCCCTTCATAGGATACCGCTACCACTCCAAACAATGAGCATTGCCTGCCCTGCCAGCCGGCCACGGCATCCACTTTGTCAACGGAACACAACAGGAGCAACAAGGCATTCACCAAATCCTACTGCAGCACCAGGACGCAGTCTTCCAGTGGTCCGGATGTTGGGGATGCCTCCCCAAGTACACGGTCGCACTGGACACCACGACGGCAGCACCACCCGCATCGCCGCCGTTCCGACAGGCACCCAACAAACTGGCGCCCTTCAAGGAGATCATCGCAGAGTACGTTGCCACGGGCATCATCAAGCCGGCCACGTCGCCCTACAACTCCCTGGTGTTCCTGACACCCAAGAAGAGCGGACTACCCGACGCGCCTGCAGGGCAATGCTGGCGCCTTGTCAAAGACTACAGGAAACTGAACACAGTTCTGGTACCAGACAATTACACAATGCCTATTATACAGGACCTAGTAGACACCGTGGGATGTCAGAATGCATTCTTCTGCACAGTGGACCTGCACAGCGCTTTCCATCATCTGCCCATCGTGCCCCAAGACAGACCAAAAACTGCCTTCTCTACCCCCCAAGGGCAGATGCAATATGCGGTACTACCATTTGGGCTACTCAACAGGCCTGCACTCTTCCAATGCACTATCAACGACATCCTCTGTCCACACCTACTCACCAAGTGTTTAGCCTACATCAACAATATCATCGTCTTTGGCAAAACCTACGAGATGGTGTGCCAGAATCTCCAGGACTTGCTCACCTTGCTTGACAATGCCGGCGCCGCAATTGACATTGCCAAGTTGACCTTCCTTGCCACGCAGATCAAATTTCTGGGACTCCTCATTGACCAGACGGGGGCCAGGCCAGCCCCCCACAACCTGGCAGCAGTCGAACAATACCCCCAACCAAACACAACCAAGGAGATGCAGAGGTTCCTGGGCCTTGCAACCTATCTACACGAGCACGTGCCCATCAACTTTGCCACTGCAGAAAAGGTTCTACGCTCAACCATCCCGGCCAAATCCAATACAACTCTGCAGTGGTCGACAACAGCAAAGAACGCATTCCACAATCTCAAGACTGCCATTGCCAACGCCGCCCGACTGGAACACTACAACAAACATCAGCCCATTGAGGTCCACACCAAAGCCTCCGCCACCAGCAGCCTAGGAGCAGTCCTGGTACAGGTCCACCCCAACACCAGCCCGGCCGTTCTCCAATACGCAAGTTGCGTTCTCACGGACACAGAAACCCGCTACACAAATACCAAACGCAAGCTCCTTGCCATGGTATGGGCCGTCACAAAAAAGTTCCGGCACTACCTGGAACACTGCGCCTTCCACATGATTACCAACCATCAACCACTGTTGGGCAAGCTGAAATCATCCAGGCTAATTCAAATGCAAATGAAATTGGGACAATACCAAGGGGAACTCAAATATTGCCCTGGCGCATACACTCGCCCAACCTCCTTAGCCGGGTCTCCATCAACGCAGCTGACCCACGTCTCTCCGTACACCCGGGACAGTATCGCAAAGTGATCAAACAATACCACCTCAATCTGGGCCACGCAAATTGGAAAAAAGTCTTGCAGACCATAGGCCCATGCTTTTCCTGGCCCCACATGAGGCACAGCATCTGGAGACAACTTGTAGACTGCCCAGAATGCTTCACCTACAACGACAGCACAAAAACAACCAGCAAACACATGCATGGCGTACCCGTCATGCAGCCTCTGGACCGGCTCTGCATTGACTTCTACGGCCCCCTACCACGCTCCGCGGGTCTACACAAGTACGCGTTCAATGCAATGGACCACTTCTTGAAGTTCCTCCTTGCAATCCCTGTCCGATGAGCAGACACGGCCACGGCAATCGCCAATGTCCACACCGTCGTCACCAACGTTGGGAAATTTCAGATGATACACTCCGATTGAGCCGCAATTTTCAAATCTCTCGCCTTTTGCCAATTCCTCACCCAAGCTGGATGCAAGCAACACATTGCGCACGCCAACCACCCAGAAGGCAACGGAACATGCAAGCAGGCCATCCGCACCATTGGGCAAATACAAGCAAAAATTGCAAAGAAGGACAGCAGAAATTGGCACGAGTACTTACCCATGTCGGTGGCCACATACAACCTTATGCCACATACCTCTATGGGAGTTAAACCTAGCAAAATCTTCCTGGGCACAGCGCCTTGCTTGGCTGCCAACGACCACTTAGGTGTCTCCCCTCCAGCCGCCACCAATGCAGCCGCAGTGACCAACTATCTCCGTCAGCAGCAAAAACGGTCTCTCCACCAGGCCAAGCAGAAGAAGCACCCCCAGTTCCAATCCGGGGATATGGTGACTGTCCGTCCACAGATGGCATCCACAGGGCTCCACGCTGCCTCCCGGCGTTTCCGTAAGCAACGCCTGGGGCCCTTCATGATCCTCCGGCAACACGCCCCGGGACACTACGCCATGGGCACTGGCGTAGTATGCCCGCATTGCGCTCCTGCCCGCCTGGGAACTACAACCCTGGCCCCACGGGCCACGGCCCCCGCAACCAGGCTATGACAAACACCTTAAGTTCCTCCGCAAACTTGCACCACGGGAGCCACCAGCGGAAACCAAGGAACATCACTAAGCACGCTCGCGCACCAACACTATGCCCGCAGATCATGTCTGCAAGCACTTTATTGCTCCGCAGTCTGCAACCCCACACGGGGGCCCTGCCTCCTGACCAGGGCCAAAGACCCCACCAGGGCGGCACGCGGGCTGCCAATCAACACCTCCGATCGACTCTTGCCACCAAGTGCCTTTTTGGGGGGGAGGGGGAGAGTCAGAGATAGCCATCTCAAAAACAACAAAGACACCAAAAGTACATTAACTCCAACCTTATCTCTCCCCACAGATTGCAGAAAGGACAAGGACGCAACCCTAAGCCAAACCAGGGAAAAACATCCTACAACACACACAAGAGAACCTAACGGTCCCCAACCCCAACCGGGAACAACATCCGCTGCAAAACCACAAGAGAACCTAATGGGACTGAGGGTCAAGACAACAAGCACATAAGCGCGCAAAAAGGACAACGCGGGTCACTCTTGACTGAACTGCTTGACACTCCGCATCTCCACCTACGCCGCCTTGACGAGTGTCTTTGAACCTACTATTGTGAAAGAAAGTTACTTGTGTGAAAAGCAATACACTATTTCTACTCTCTTGTATCTACAACATAAAACCGGCCGTACATTACTCTACCTACCAAACACCTTACTGTATGTTGCCAATCCGGAAAGTTCTTGCTAAGAGAGTCAGATTTGAAATGTTCCATTAAGGCACCTAATGTGTTTTTTTATGCCGAAAGAACACGTATTGCTGTGATCTGTTCGGAAAATGTAGTACAGTACAAAACACTGCAGTAACGCAACTATACAGTACTGTACAAGAATCTACGTCGCTGCATAATGTAGGAGGGAGTTTCGGCTGAATCCAGCTCTGTGAAAAGATGGAAGGTGAGCTTTGATCATGGTGGCGCACAAAGGCATTGGGGTGCGGGACAAAATACGTTGGACGATTCTTTGGAGAATCAGTCCTCAGTTACATGGTCGCAGGAATCGTCTTGTTCAATATTTGTGGCATTTTGAAAAATTCCCGCTGTCATTCGGGTTCATTTAGAATATGAAGATGACTAAAAAAAATCTTCGAGTCAAGTGCCGTATATGTCGTGACGGAGACATTCGCTGAATGAAATTCGGGAATTGGTCATGTCGCATCAGCTGATCATAGTATCACAGAGCTTCGCAAATCGTCTGCCTGGCTGTGGATCCGCGAATGAAGACCTGTCTCCCAACGGATTCGGGTCGCTGTAATAATGGCAGATGTTCGGACGTCAAGTGTTTCCGGTGCGGTCGATGAAAGAGGATTGTGTCAGTGAGCGTGGCTACCATTTGGAATCCGATTGTTGAGTATTTTAGGAATCGAAATGTAATGTTTCATCGTGTGCTTGGAGGATATCTCGTGTGGCGCTGTTGATGAAAGCTTGTATTAACGAATTTCCTGAGTAAATCGTCAAGTTATTATGCGGTGAAATCTGATATTATCGCGTCAGCTGCTTTCCACATTCTTCTGCAAGCAACGATGGTGAGACGAAGTTCGATTACTTCCTACGCGGTGATTAGTTATATTCATGGGGGTCTTTTAAATGTTTTCTAGTGGAAGGTTAGCCATCAGGAAAGTGCTTTAGAAGGTTTTTGTTTAGGACACATGTCATTTCGTTGTTTCGGTGTACCGGGAGATTTGCTCATGATCTGCGAAGATTTTACCTCCTAATCCCACTTTCCAATTTTCAAATTTACCCAGAACTCGCCTAATCGGTCGTAGTTACCTCGATAATCTGCTAACATGGCGCAAGAACGTAAGGCGGTTATTAAAAATGCTGATATGTCTGAAGACATGCAGCAAGATTCCGTCGATATCGCGAACCAGGCGCTCGAGAAGTACTCCGTGGAGAAGGACATCGCTGCTTACATCAAAAAGGAATTCGACAAAAAATACAACCCCACCTGGCACTGCATTGTTGGTCGCAATTTCGGCAGCTACGTGACCCACGAAACTCGCCATTTCATTTACTTCTACCTGGGTCAAGTCGCTGTTCTGCTGTTCAAGTCTGGCTGAAGCGGTCATCTTAGGATTCCATCATAGAACATTTTATACTTCATCGTTTTGTGTCGAGTGCATGCGTTTAATCCGTTAATTAAATTTCCCCTGTCCTGCTTTTTTTATTATTAGTTGGTTGATTTCGACGAGTCATAAATCAGTTACATATATTTCCCGTGTCAAAGAGTTCCTCTCCAGTAGCGAATTAATTTCATTCCAGAGTTTCGAAAAAAAGAACGTCAATTTCCATGCGTCTCCTTTTTTTTATTGTGAGGATGTGTTAAGCGTATGATGAAGAAATAAGGTTCTGGATTGCCGAGAGGCACCGCGGTGTTATTCAACAATGCGGAACCGAACCAATCTAAAAGGTTGCCAAAATTTCAGGATTTAGAATTCTTTTTGAGTTTCCAATGCGTTGAGGCTACGTGCGGTGATAAGTGTGGCGGAAATGTCCGAATTCCGCGTTCGTGTGACATACGACTATGACGCTCAACAAGTCGACGAACTCACGATCCGCGTCGGAGAAGTAGTAGAAAACGTGGAGCGCGTCGAGAGTGGCTGGTTCATCGGAACTTTGCATGGTCGCCGAGCTTTGTTCCCTGACAATTTTGTCGAGGTATTGACGAGTGACGCAAATTTGAATCAGTCCGAGCTGAACGAGAACAAAATGGGAGCCCCGAGGTATTGCATAGCTTTGTACGACTACGAACCCGAAGCCGCGGATGAGTTGGCTTTGGTTCCGGGTGACATGTTGGAGGTTTCCTGTGAGGTTGAAGATGGCTGGTGGCGCGGGAAGCTTAAGCAGAAGGCGAGTACCGTCAATTTTAATCTCTTGTAATTGCTTACTGTTTCTTGAAAAATTCCATGATAAGCAGTGTACACTAATTTGCGAGTGCTAGTTGTAGAGACTCCCATCAGTCTCAGCAGGATTTTTCTCTGGTATCAGTGCAAATTCGTTAAAGCGCATGTACAGTGTACAGTGCAGTACTCATGTCTACAGTATTTATTTTTTTAGTAACATCTTCCGGGGTACACAATTTTTGGATACCGCGCTGTATCGGCATATGTTGGGTTCACTTCACGGGAATTACATTTTATGAATCTACATCAGTTGACCTCGAAATATCATTAAATCATTATCGAAACCTTTACAGCCGTACAATGCAACTTTGATCAACATTGTAATGATGGAACATATCGGCTTGACTTAGTGTAAATCTGAACCTTGCTGGAGCAGTTTTCGCGGAAACATGGGTTCCTCCGTCTATGTAAGCCATATTACCTTGATCTTAGTTGTGCCACTATTTTTTTATTTTCTTCATTCCAATATAATGATATGCAAAAGAGAGTTTTCAGTACGCTGATTTATTTTTTTCGTCGCCAGGTCGGTGTATTTCCGTCCAACTTCGTGAAAGAAGTGAGCGAGAAGGAGATGCGGGAAGAACTCAAGTTGCGGGGATTGGACATCAACGACTTCATGAAATCGTCATCGACAGCGAGTGCCGTCGTCCCAAAGATGGATGCCAATAAGAATCCCTCGAAGGCCGAACGCTCTCCTGCCCGTAAGTTCAACTCTTTTTCTGCAATGCTAAGATTTCAAGTGTTTCCTGCGTCCTGACCTTCTTGTCTCTGAGGTTAACTTGAAGTCGATTCTTTGCTAGAAAGATGAAGAAGCGAAACTTTGATTTCTCCGGTAAACGTGACTTGAATTTTGTTGTGATAACGTTGAGTAGTTCTTATCAGTCTCTCTCCCTCTCTCCTCCCACCGATGGTTGGCCCTCTGTCACTCGCTCCAACTTTTATCTGAGCACATTTGTTGCTTTAGAACGATTGCGAAAAATCGTTGTTTTTCACTCATTGCAATGGTTTTCTGTCTTTGAATTTTTAATTGTACTCAGTTTTTTCTTGACATTTTCATTAATCGCGTCTTCATCGATAGTGTAGTTTATTAATTTTATTTTTTGCGGTTGTAGGCAGCAGCAGCAACGGCGTCCCGAGCCTCGACATGTTCAGCAGCAAGCAGAAGACGAAGCCGGCGACGTCCTCGTCACCGCCGCCACCGGCCCTGCCGCCGAAGCCAGTGAAGGAAAAATGCGAGGTGGTGTATTCGTACACAGCTGTCAACGACGACGAGTTGAGTCTGGAAGTGGGGGACGTGGTGACGGTCATATCCAAGGACTTGGAGGACTCGGGGTGGTGGCGCGGTGAACTCAACAATCGCATCGGGGTCTTCCCGGACAACTTTGTGCGATTGCTGCCGATGTTGGACGCCATCAGCACGACACCGACGCCGACGCTGCCCACCCAAGGAACGACCGTCGCGACGGGTTCGTCTTCTTCTTCGCTGGAGAAGGTGACGAGCGGGGAAAGTCCCAAAAAGAAGCAGCCTGCTCCTCCACCGCCGTTTTCCGCTGCCCCAGTCACCACCAAGAATGACGCTGAGGTGAGAAGCAGGAGGAGGAGGCTGGCTTTGTCTGACTTGCAAATTAATTGAAGCATGACTTATATTCTTTTCTTTTTCCTCTTGAACCTTTTTCAGGTGGATGGACAGAAAAATGAGTTGGAGCTGGAGTCGAAGGGAAAGAAGTTGAAGCACTTGACGACTGCTCGGCCGCGTGGACCCGCCAACCGACGTCCTCCGTCGACACTACTACCGACGTCGACGACGTTCGGCGAAGCTGAACAGACTGTAGCAAAATCCGAACTTCCATCTCCGAAAGTGCGTCATGTCTGGAAGTTTCCTGGGTTTTTCATGTTCTACATGGATTGAATATTTTATGGTCATTAATTAGAGCGTTGAGCCAGTACCAGCGGCGACGCCGACGACGAATGGATCATCTCCCCCGACGCCGACGTCGGAAGACGGACTGCGAAAAGCCAAGTCGACGAAGCCTAGTCCGCCACCGTGGTTGTCCGAACTGCGGGGAGCGCAAAATAATCGTAACAGCCGTCTTTTTACCGGGCTGCTGGCGAACGCTGGCGGCGGAGCTGGGGATGATGACGATGACGGTGCTACTGTGTTGCCTCCTGCAACTCCTGTTGCTTCTGCTCTTCCTCCTCCGGCTGTGGATGTTGTACCTGAAGCCACGACACCGCCTGCGACTGTGACAAAATCGTCTTCCTTCAAACCCATCGTTCCTTCCAAGCCGAAGGTGGCAGACGCTCCTGTGCTGGGAGCTGGGGAAGGAAGCCGAATTGAGGAGCAAATATCAATCGCGGCTGCGTCGGTTGCCGTCGCTCCTTCTGCACCTGCTGCTCTCCCTGTCGTTTCTTCGATTGCTTCAGCTCCGGAAGTTGTGACAGAAGAGGTGGACGTGGAGCCAGTTGGGGAACCCTTTTTGCTCATCGATATGAAAGTGAGTAGACGAGAGGTTGTTCCGAATTTCTCTTTTCCTGTGGGGTGTTGAAATCTTGTGTGAGATGTAATTTATGTCTTCCTTCAAGACGAATTTTTTCGTAGTTGTTTTTTTCCACGAGCATGATTAAAATATGCGGGAAATTGCAAGTTCGCCACCTTCTTCGAAAATTTATTTTCGAGTTTACAGTGTTTGGAATTGTTTGTATTGCGAAAAAGTGTGTGTGTTTCTTCTCTCACATGTGCGCATTTAACCATGTACGCAGAAGGAGGTTGAGGAGTTGAATGCGAAATCACCCACACCGACGGCGGCGCTGGAAAAGCGACTCGCGGTCCTCGAAGAAGACTTGAGTTGGGAGAAGCGGCGTCGTGGAGAGATGGAGAAAATCATCGGAAAGTTGCTTGTTCGAATTGAAACCCTGGAGCGTGCCGCCGCCTTGGCCGCCACACCGTCAACCGCCATTTGACGCGTGTGGCGAAGTTTGATACACCCGTCCGCCGATGGAGCGACAGAAAAGCGAAATGCCCCGCTTTATTCCTTTTTTTAAGGAACGGAAACTGGTTCCATTTGTTCATGTTGACGGAAAATCTTCATTCAAGTTGAGCTGTTTTGACATTCTTTTCTTTTTTCGAGCACACGAGGCTTGCCGCTTTCTTTTTCTTCTTCCTCGTCATGTTTCTTCCTCACACTTGAAATGCGAGTAATGAAAGTTCCGAAAGCTGTGAAAAGATTTTATCGAAACCGTGCATTTCCTGAAGTAGTTCTCTTAATGACGAATAATGTCATGATGAGAAAAAATCCGTGTTACTGGAAGTTGATGGACGCGCAGGATTTCCCTCAAGTTGAACTTTGTGCAAGCTTTAAGCAATTGACAGACCGTGCGTAAAGAAGAATTTGCAGCTTTTCCTCGGAGATACTTTTTCCGCGCTTAATTTCTTTGGTAGGTGAACGAGCATCGCTGTGCACATTCTGTGAAGAAAATATTTTTGGTTCGCGAGGGATTTGAGGCAACGAAACGACGCGTGGATGATTTTCGTTGGGGCTTATTTTGTACGGTAAATTCCAAACGACGAAAAAACCTTTTTTTTTTTTTTATATCGAAGAAGTAATGAAAGGAAAAGGCCGCCGTCCAAGGTGATGGAAAGTTAAAACTGCAATAACTCGTTCCGGCTTTTTTTTTCGTTCAACATTTTGCCATGTATATGTTATGTAATCCTGTGTACGGATTATTTTCTGTGCAACGAATGTAAAATCGAAATGGGAGTATTTATTGAGCTTGATTGACTCGGTTGTGTCTAATTCGTACGCGAGTTTTTTCTTGTTTTATCCGCGATTAGAGAAAAAATTCACTTTCTTGGGAAATATTCATGTGATGACGTGTTCGTCTTTTTTCCCTGGTCTGAGTGTTGAGGCAAAATCTGTTCATTACAATTACATGCCGAAACTTTTTTGTTTCAGGGTGTATGCCGTGCTCAGAGCAATATTTTCAAACTCTGCGCATTTGAGCTGTTTTTATTTTTTCTTGTGCCAGGGGTAATTGATTCACCCGAGTGGGCGGGAGTAAACCACGGGAAAGGTGAGCATTTCTTGTACATTGCAACAAGGGATTCAACTTGAATTCCTCATGTGACAATTTCGGCAGTTGTGATAGAGTGTCGTGTGTGCGGCAATGTCTTCGAAAGTCAAGCAAAGGAAAACAGCAAATGAAGCCACGTTGGAAACAACCGGTGTAAACGAGAAAATTCTGCGCGAGTGTCATGAGCTTTACACGGATCCTCAAAGCGGTGAGTACTCAAATTTGGGAAAACTGTGTTTTTTCTAATGGCTGGGAAAGTATCGGAACATGACATTCAACGATGAGAAATGACGTTGACTGAATGAGAAAGAGGGACGAAGTGTCTCGGTTTATCGAGCATCCGTCTTATCCCGTTTCCTGTTTTTTTTATTTTTTTTAAAGGCCTGGTGAAGATCGCAGAAGAACTTGGTGTGCAGATATTAGCACCCAGAAAGAAAATCACGGTTTTACTGATAGGAAATCATTCTGCTGGAAAGAGTAGCTTCATCAATTGGTGAGTTTTCATCATCCCAGGGATTGAACGTGTCTCAAGTTATCGTCTTCTTCATAATTGAATATAGTACTGAAGAAATCACACTTGTGTTTCTCTTATTTATTCTATACAGGTATGTAGAAGAGCATGTGCAAAAAGTCGGAGTGGCCATTGAAACCCAGGGATTTTCCTTCGTCACGTCTGGGAAAAAGAGAGAGTCCTTGACGGTGCGTGATTGCGTCTTTCGAATTTGCAATGATTTAAATCGTTCGTTTATTCTTCGAATAGGGAAACGCAACTCTCCACTTGTACCCTCACTTCCAGTCTCTCAGCGAAATTGACGGTTTGTGCAGAATTCTGATTCACAATTTTCAAACAAATCAGGAGCCTTGATGTTTTTTTAAAACTATTTTATTTTTAATTTAAATCGAGTTGCTTACTGTTGACGTTCCTCTGAAGCAGCAAAGTGAAATTCTGAAGAAGAAAAAAAAACAAGGCTGGGAAATAGTTCTCCATTAGGTCGCCCGTTTTTCGAACAGTCATTGATCGTTTCTGTCTCGATCAAAAAGTTAGTTTTGAGCGTGTGGGGGAAACTTGATTTTGCAGGAGTGGTAGACTATCTCAACACGGAGATAAGCACGTCGAAGCAGAAAAAGTTCCCACTCATCACGTTTGTCGACAGTCCAGGTCTCGTTGACGGTGATATGAAGTACCCGTTCGATGTGAACGAGGCCATCATTTGGCTTGGTAATCCATCCCCTGTTTTTGAGGCGGTATCAGGAATTTTGAGAAAAACATTTTTTTCTTCTTTTTATCCAGGCGGATTGGCCGACTTGATTTTTGTGTTCTTTGACCCGATCGGCCAAGCGTTGTGCAAGAGGACTTTGAACCTTGTTGAAGCATTGAATAAGCATCACCCGGATAGGATTCGTTTCTATCTGTCCAAGGCCGACGACGCGGGCAATGAAACTGATCGCCAAAGGCAAGTCTTGAATTTATTCAGCCATTATACCGAGATTTCAAAAGGTTTTTTTGGCACTTTTTTTTTGCGTAGAGTTATGATACAAATCGCGCAAGAACTGTGCAAGCGTCCAGGCTTGAACAGGCAAGGCTTTGACATGCCAACCATCTACATTCCTAATCCCAACAAGGTGACTTTACATTCGAGTTTCTTGTTGGTGTACTGTATATACGTTTTAGTCTCCTCAATACAGAAATGATGAATTTCTTTTCTCAGACTGTGAGGTGCACGAATCAGATTGAGGATGTTTGCAAAGATATTGAGAAAACTATCACCCAAACAGTACAAAATACTCTCAACATGCTGGAGAAAGACTCAGAAAAGCTGATTGGTGCTATGAAAGAAAAGCTGGATCGTGATGTTGAGACGCGGCGTCGAAACCGGTCGAATGTCTTTTGGAGTGAGTTGACGATCTTTCCAGAATATTTTACAATGCAGCAATTCAATTTATTTTGTCAAGGATTTCCCGAAGTGAAAAGCGCTTCCTCAATTTATCACTCCAGGGGTTTTCGAAGTGTCTTATTCAATCAATTCATCAACAACAGCCACATCTGTAGTTTTGACGCCTCTTATGAAAGAATTTCACCTTGAATGATCGTCTCAATTTCGAAACGACCTGGGAGAATTAGCATTATTTGCCGCCTTTTTCTTCTGGAAAACTCGAATCATGCGCGGCATACCGTTCAAGTGTCAAAAAATTAATCCAGAATGCGGTTCGTGTTGAAAATTTGTCCAACCCCATTCCTTTTTATTTTAACTTCGTCACTTCCGCATCTTCTTGAAGGGTTCAAGTAGTTTTGGGTCGACAAGTCGTAAGTTACTGGAAATTATCCAGCCATGAAACCGGATTTTTACCGAATCGCAATACCTTTGTGAAATTCCTCGCGTACAGAAAAAACTGTGTGCGACACTAGACGGGGGAAATCGGGTGTTCTAGAAAGATTTGTACTCTACTCCTTTTTCCACCGCCGTTTTGCAGAAGTCGCTTACTACCTGATGTCCCTGACGTTCCCGATGCTCATGGTTTTATCTCTCATTTCCCACGGCGGACTGCAGGGAGTGACGGAAGCGCTGGTTGGTCGGGAGTATGTCAGCGTTTTGCAGTCTGCTTTGGTAAGCTCTTCTTCGCATGTTTCATCATAGGAGGATGGAGTTTGTTGAAAATTTCCGCAATTACTGTACTGTATATATCTCCGTCTCGTTTCGGTTGCCTAGGCTCCAGTGAAAGTGGCGTGGAATGTCATTCCGCGAGACTATGAGCGAACCGTTTTCATCGTTTTGGTGGGTCTCTCGATTGCGCTTTTCTTTCTGGCGTCGTGGCTGCACACTGTCAAACCGACGCTGTCGACTAAACGTCGGAACGCCCTGATGCACATGGTCTCTCATGTGGAGAAGAGCGTCATTCCGCGCAAGGTGAAAAAAACAAACAAAATAAACAGAAGAAAAACGTTTTCATTTCTGGATGGGTGTGTTATACGAGAATTTTTTCGTTTATTTTTTGCAGAAAGAGCTGTATGACCAGTATTTACGACAGTGCGTGGCTGATCATGATCTAATCTGAGGAGGAGTAAAAACTGCGCGTTCATTCGTAGCAGATGAAACGCCGCGTCAACAAAAAAAGAAAAAGAAACAAAACAAAATCTCGCTCATATCGTGTTTGTGTATTTGTGCTGTGGGGATTTTTCGTCCGCATACCGAGCAGTGTGGTGTCCGATGCGTCAGTCACTTTTTTGATTCGTTCCATCTTTCATTCTAGTGTGTACGACGTCTTTTTGATGTCATCACAATTGGCTGTCGTGTCGTTGACTTAGTCAGAGATTTAGGCAATGCTGTAGAAATGTGACTGGCTTGTCGGATACTGAATACGTGCTTCGCTTTTACTTTTTTATTTTCAGAAGGATTTCAAATGCTTCCTTCCTTGGTTTTTTGGGGGATTACTAGGTCTTTGCAATTGTTGATTGTCTGAAAATCCTGTTGTTACGGGGCGTTGATGCTGGAGTTCGAGTCTTGTGTGGCAATTTTAGTGTTTCGTGAAGAATCTGGGAAGTTTTTTGTGCCTGATGACGGAAGAGATTGATTTATATTTGGATGAATAACCTCTGAGGAACGTGAATGTCTCTGCTGTCGCTGAGTTCAATTGCATTTTACTTCTTTCGATGAGCGAGAATGCGGTTTGTTTGCTTTAGACATGAACGGCTTGTTGAGCAGGTATTTGTGCAAACGGGTCGCTTGGTTTGCCAGCCCTGAGAATCTATTGTTGAAATTTTTCACTTTTTTTTCCCTACCCGGTGAGTTGTTGTTTCTTTGATATTTCAGAGCGGGGAAATTCCACTTGTTTTGTGTCTCGCTCACATCAGAGTGGTGAATTGGGAAGCTGTGAAAAGTTTGCACCCTCTCTCCCCTGGCAGTGATGAAAAAAAGCCCTTGCTCGTCATCTTTGTTACCTGTCCTGAAATTTGATCCGTTAAGAGGATTCTGCGACGAAAGGGGAAAAAATATCCATATTAGCATGATGAGTTCTAGAATAACACCCTCGTCACGCTTCGTCGGCTGAGATAGAGTTTCGAAAAGTAATGAGGGATATTTTTGGCTCATGAGCAATTTTCGAATCGCAAACTGAGTGGAAAGCATTCATTTTATTTCGTTTTGTTTTGTCTCTTTTTTTCATCACGATTGGGTGCACACTTTTGATCAGTTAACCCTGTGGGAGGAGGAGCGAGTAAGATCAAGGTGCGTGGAAAGAACGAAAGGAAAGGAGGAAGACGTCTCGTATGTGACGGAATAATTTGAAATCATTCCTCCCTTCCCTTTTTGCGTGCGAGCAGCAGGTGGGTTCGTTGTGGTCGGGGCCACCGGGCGGAAGTCGTGGCCCAGTGAAAAAAGCGGGAGTGAGAGACGAGGAGATTGAGACGCCGCCATTCCGTGCGTCAGTGATGGTGCCGGATCGGGGCGCGGACGATGGATGTGTGCCGGGCGCGTGTGATGGGCGGTGAAGCTGCAGGCGGCGGGAGGCCGGCCGCCGTGGCCAGTCTGGGACGGAAGCTGGGTGCCCGAACTGCGTTTGCCATCTTCCAGCAGCACGGAGACCACCACGACAACGACGACGACGATGACGACAGCCACCATCACCGTCTCGACACCAATCTTAATCCTGTGTCGGCCAAATTGCCGACTCCCAAAGGCGAGTTTCGCATCTTTTGCTGAGTTGAAATCATTAGAGAATGTGCACGACAAAGAGCTGAACGTGTATCAACTGAGAGGGTTTGCTCATTTTTCGAAAGACCGTGGATCGATGTAGACTTGCTAAAAATGTTGCTGAAGTTTTACCGCTCATGCGAGAAGTGGGATGTCATTGAAAGCAGTTGTCAGAAAATCTTCAGAGGATTTCCTCAAGTTTCGTTAATGATCCCCGAGTGAATTCTAGCTGAAAACTTGAGTAATTCACACACTCGTATTTTAAGGTCATCACGAGTATTATCGATTGCGAGGCACTAGGAAGTGATTGACACTTTCTTGCTAAATTCTGCCTGTTTTTTTTTTTCATTTGAATCATCTTTATTTTTCCTCTCGCAGGGAGGAGGAAGAGTGCCGTGGAACTTTTGGCTGCGTCGAAGCACTGCTACGTGAAATCGAAAGCCGTCCTGGACTCGAAGCAGGAGCTCAAGAACAGCCAACACCTGTACGTGAAAACAGACATTCCACCGTCCTTTGGTCTTCTGCTCAAATCAGCATCCTTTCGGAATCCCGCTCCTCCGCCGCCGACGTCGTCTTCCCTGTTGTCGACACCGAATCCTTCCGTCGATGTCGTAGCTTCCAAGGTATAGTGTTGAAAATAATGCTATTCGTTGTCGAGTGGCGACCGTCGTCATGATTCTCGGGTCGTAGGTGGTGGTGAAGCAGGAGGAGACGACGACTGCACGATTCGTGCATCACCCAAACTTCCGCTACATTGCGCGGACGGAGAGCGCGGTGCCGAAGCAGTCGGCGCCGCCGTTGCCGCCCAAGAGCCCAGTGTGTTCCAAACAACCGCAGCAAATGCTGCTGCCGGCGCCGCTTTTGTCGTCGTCGACGTCATTGTCGTCACCGCCTCCGCTGCCGCCGAAAAAGGGGGCACCGACACCGCCTCCTCGTCCATTGAAACCCCCGTTCAGCGTGGAAGGGAAGTTGCGGGAGTTGATCAGTGAATGCGACGATATTGGTGAGTAACAATACTGTACAGTATTTGAAGAGGATGAAACAGTGGAGATGGCTCTACGAGTGCCTTTTTGATGGATGTCAGGTATTGAAAACAACACGGACGACGATAAGCCGCCAACGCCGCCTCCGCGTCGCACGTGTGGCGGTAATGTGACGATGACCTCTGCCACGTTGACGACGGCGCGCAGTCCCGCGACGTCCGACTACATCTCAGGCTCGCCGAGCTTCTGCCTCGACCAAATGTCCAACTTTGACACGACCGGGGATTTCGTCGCGCAAGAGGACGAAGAGGAGGCAGGAAATGTGCGCCAGCAGCGGAATCCGTCGAGTGCGACCACAGAGGATACAAATGTGATGAGAAAGCGGTTCTCGTCATCGTCCCAGTCTGATTCCGACGGTGGCATGCGAAGGCGTGTGGAACAAGACGCTGAGCTTTTGCCGCGACCGGCAACTATTGTCCGTTCCAAGTCTGACATAAGCCATCGGTGGGTGTTTTCGTTTCTTGCATGGATTCAGAAAATTCGCGGGTTGTTCTCAAATGTCCCACACGCACTACACTTGCGATGACCGTGTATGTGTGTGTGTTCGATTTCTTGAACATTTAATAATACTGTTCTGGGAAAACCAGCAAAAACGTGAAGGAACGGGAAATGTAAAAGACGGCATCAGAGATTCATTCTTGAACAAAAATTTACAAAATATTTTACAAGGAAGGGAACATTTGTATGACTTTCGAGAGAAGCAAAAGTCATCAAACATGATGATGCAAAGTTTTTTTCATCCTTACCTATCTGTTTCTGCTATTTTAGTGTAAATGAATGATATGAATCAAGGAGGGCTTTGCCACAAAAATTCTGTTTCTTATCCCAAGCTGATATTTTTGGAATACTGCCAGAATTTTATTCCTTTTTTCGAACAATACCCCACCTTCTTCTGACGAAAATTTCAGTGCACTACAGTTAACGTACGTGTGCAGTATGTGAATAACCGAAGTACGGTGAAAAAGCTTTCATAGGTCTATGAGCACAGACGAAGACTATACTGTGCATAAATTGAAGTTAACGTCGAGTTGCTGAGAATCGGGAGATAATTTGTTGTGCTTAGGAAAGGTTGCGAGAGAGAAGAGTGGGACCTGTTGTCGAAACTTAGTTCGTCACGTGCTAACTAGGTTGTATGTCGAAAGGTATTCGCGAGGTTGTGGCGGCGGCGACGCTGACTTCCGAATGGGCCCACCGCAAGAGCACCTGGGACGCCGCCACGTGACACCCGGGGAGGCGGAGCAGTTCTTCAACCAGCTCGGACTGCATAGTCAGGGCGTGCCGATCCACTTGACGTTGTCGGACCACAGTTCGCCCGTCTTCTTCGACTCCATCTCGGACACGACAGGCAGTTGTTCTCGGGCCAGTCCGTCGGACCCCTGCGGTGGAGACGGTGGGGGCATGTGTGGAGCTGTGCGAAGACCACCGCTGCCCGGCGGTGGGGGTGGTGCTGTCGTTGGCCCCAACGGACAGCATGCCGACTGCAGCATTGTCGAGAAGAATGCCCGGATCATCAAGTGGCTATTCCAGTGTCGACGCGCTCAGACTGCCGTTTGAATACCTGAATCCTCACCTCCCTTGTGATTTATCATGCCTCTTTTTTTTTTTTTTTTGCATTCTTCAGAGTTTCATAATGCAACACAGGACAGTACAGTATATACATGTAGCTTCTCTTTGAAGTTGAATCGAATCAGTTTTGCGATCTTGGCGTTCGCTTAATTGTAAGATTTTCGAGTTCATAGTCCGTTTAGTGCGATTTCTGATGAGGAACTCGGCTCATTTCCCCCGCCCTTGTTTTCTCACGTGGACAGGAAAAGAGAAAAAAAACCAAGAAACTCGGACTTCTGCTGATGTTAGCAGACTGTGGCAGTTTTAGTGACAGCTGTGTTATTGGAAAGGATTGAAGTTTATAAGCTGCAGTATTTGAACTACAAAAATATTTGAAGGCTCTCTTGTTGCAAGCAATCGTGGATTTTATGTTGTGATAACAGGTCTTTTCGCCAAAGGATGTATTTCTAGCGTTTCTGGATGACGAGAGGTCGTCTCATATCTGTGAAATTTCCAATTCGAGCCACTGCCATGTTCCGTCGCTTTGTTCTTTTATTCTTCCGGATTTTCAGCGAAGAAATGTTTTTTTTTTCATTGGCGTCGTGGTTCTGGGTTGAAAAAGTTTAGCAAATTCGGTCGTTGATTGATATGCTGTGATGGCAAAAAGGGTCCGTATCTGCGTGCCCGCTTGAGTTGTGTTTCGTCTGACTATTTTTGTTGGAATTTTGTCGTCTCCTCGTCTCTGTGATATATGCACTAGTTTGCTCTCTTCCTTCCGCGTCTCAGAAGTGTGCACTGTGGTTGCTGTGTTTGGCACTTCAAAGACATTGTTTCTTCCTTTTTTGCGTTTTTTTTTTTTTGTGGAGGGCAAATTGCGATTTGGGCGGACAGCGTTTGAAGCTAACATGTTGTGGACTAAAGATATATTAAATCTCTCGGTCGGTTACAGGAATTCACCTGCTTTTTTTTTGTTGAATATAAACTACAAAATACGGTAGACAATGACAGTCCGTCTACAGGGAAATTCCGTTTCGAAGTTGCTTATGCAATGGCATTTTTTTTTTGTCCTGTAACGAGTCTCCCGAAGTGGCTCCTCTGGTTTGCTTCATTGTTTTGTGGAAGTAACGTGATGGATAGTTTTGTGAACAAAAAATAAATTCTTACATTGAATTTAACACGCCGTTTCCCTTCATTCGATTAATAAATAGTTCGAAGCAACAAGTAGAGGAACAACGTGCAACACACATGAACAAGGAGAAACAAGGTCCAGAAGGGTACTCCGGAATCTGTCCACGGCCGTACCACGAACACGATGAGGCACCCGAATACAAAGAAGTACGTCGTGAAGAAAGCCGCAGCAAAAATGCCTGACGAGGAAGTTAAAGCGTTGTAGAAGAGCAACAAGGCAGCGAGCACTACAACATAGAACACAGCAACTCGAACAAACCACGACTTGAGCACATAAATTGTGATGAGAGAGCTGATGAAGGCCATAAGAAAGTACAAGCCGGCATTCTGGTTCGCATATGGGGAGAAAAATATGCTCGAGATGGCAAGCAAGAAGATGGAAAGCATGATTAAACTTCATGTAGCATGGCGTTGAAGTTGCTGTGAACCAGCACGTTCGAATCCGTGGTTCTCATGCATGCGGGGTCATCGGGTATCACTTCCATCAAACATAACATCCTTCTGCGATCGAACAGCTTCTGCGCACTTCATTTGTGGTAAGAAATCGTCGAAGAAGGCTTGATTGACGCAAACTGAGCGGTGACCTTATCAAACAGAGCCCTCAACTTTCTGTCATACTTCAATCGAAGACAGGATGGTTACTCAAATCCTTCGTTCACATGCTAATTTTTTCCACTTATTCGTGTGGACCAAGCAACGAAAATTAATTAACCCATATTTTCTTGAATATAATTTCGCCTATTTATTGTACACTAATTGACAACAATATGATTTCTATCAAGACACGGTTCATGGTCGGGAACGTGTTCTTGCAAAAAATTATTGAGTTGCTGTTCAAATGACTTAGAAGCTAAAAAAAATCCCACAAAACAGCAGCTTAATAACGCATCCTTTATACTGGACCATAACGAGGATAAGTTAAAGTTTAGGGCTAGCGTTTAGGAACCAGCGCAACGCCGTGCGTGGGCGAAGTTTATACTGTACCTTCTTCTATAGAGGTTCGTTGCATTGAACTGCATTCTTCATACAAGTGATTACAGTATAAGGCAAAAACGCGGGTGAATGGAATAGCTCTTCCATTAACTGAAACATCACTGGACAGCCAAGTTCATTAAGCTTCCATTCTTCTAATCTCAGATAATGCCTTCACACTCATCCCCATGAACGTTCGCTTGCAGGGCTGTAGCCCAAAACCGTTTCTTCACATTGAATCTTCGGGCGTAGCAGGAATCACTGCCTATGACAGTTTTTTTTCTAAAAGAGGGATCGAGTTCGTTTCGACGCGCGGATAATAGTTCACGGAGGTCATCGGATTTCGCAGTATAGTACAGTAATCCTGGAGGTTTTTCCTGCACATTTGACATTTATGTTAGGGACAGTGAGGGTTCTGTGGAATTATATCATGGCGCGGCCCTATGCGTGGACTGAATCTGCTCTCAACGCTGAAGTGGATCAAGAGTCGGCAAGGACACCGTTCGTTGGCTGTTTCACTAAGATAGTGGAAACTTGTGCGGTAATTAAAAGATGAAAATGAACGAATGATGTGATGTTGAATCTTGTCAGATAGATTCCAATTTTGAGGAAATATCGCAGTTTTCTCAGTGCAAAATTACAGCGTATATTTTACGAAATGAGTTGATGAAAAAAATGAAGTCTGGGTGGAAACGTCGGGGCTCTATGCGAGAGAATTGTGGAAATCAACGCGTATTAAAAGTACTCCTTGAATATTTTCGGGAGGCGTGACACTCTCAGGGAGAGACATTCTCCCATGCGTCGTCTGCTGCGTTTATCGCGCCAATGCTGATTGATGGGGTGGGGGAATAAGTGAGGCATGCTTCGCCGTGGATTTTTGTGAGGAGTCGTCACTTTGTCGCCGAGCCCGCCGGGGAGTGGGCGCTTCGTATGACGACTTTGCGAGAGTCCTAGGATTGGACTCGTGTGATAATTATTAAAAGTCTTCCTGTTATTAACTGGCTGGCTTCAAATTTTTTAAATGTTTTATTGCACAGTTCTATTGAGTGATGATGCTTGTGTGGATGCAATGAAGTGATGAGCGTGAAGATCCCTTTTGCCAGCGCGATGTTCAGTTTCAAGCGGAAAGACAAGGAAACCGCGTCTGCGTCGACGCCCAGCAGTGGCGAAGCCGACAAGAAATGCGGGAAATCCCGCGAAAAGGAGAAGGAAAAGGACAAGGAAAAAGGCAAGGATCCGAAGAAGCGCAAAGATCGCACATCTCTTACCTCCGACGACCTGAAGCGTCTCGAAGACGCTCGCCGGTCTCTCCTCGGCCGGTCCAAGAAGAAAGACAAGCTGCCGAGTGGCATCACGGCAGACTATGTGAGCAGTTTCTACCAAAGCGACGCGACGTCTGAATTCAGTTTCTTATCCCCCGCACCACCGGTTGTGCCTCCTAAACCTCCGAAACGCGGTATTTTAAAGGGAGGCCCTGTCGACATGCCGGGATCCGACCGCGACTCCTTTTTCGACGAACGCCACTTGATGGAGAACACGATCCAGAACGAACTCATCGCCTACAATTACGAGAACATCAAATCCGCGCCCGTCGTCTCGTCGCCCGTGATTGCCGAGGACCGGAAGGGGTTCCAATTGTCCCTGGACTGTCCTTTGCCCGTGGTGCAGCCGGCGAAACCCCCGCGGGCCAGAACAGTGCACATCAAGCGACTCGAGTCGGGTGACTTTGGCTTCTCGTTGCGTCGTGCGAATATCGTGGAAAGAACCAGCAGTGTCGTCGTCGGGTCTCCCGTGCCGCGTGTGAAAACCGTCATATTTGCAGAACCCGGCTTGCTCGGACGCACCAACGAGACCGGACTGCTGCCGGGTGACAAGCTCATCGAGGTGAACGCGACCAACGTGGAAGCCATGACGAGGGACGAGATCATAGCCATGATCCGTTCCTCGGGCGATACTGTCGTTCTCAAGGCAAGTGCATACATTTCTATTGCCACACACTTCGCAATACCTGTTCCTTCCACACGCAATTTTATATTGTACTGTACATGTTCATTTGTGCTGGGATTCCTTTCACTTTTTTTTTTGTTACCTCGGACTGAATGGTTTGTTTTTTATAAAAGCTGCTCATGTTTTTTGGGATTAACGGGTCTGGACTCTTGGCCATGGATTCCAACAACGGGGGCTTATTTCATGTTTTTAGCCACTGTACAGTATGTGAAATGTATGATTTGAATGAGATCTCATTTTCCGTACAAAGAATGAATAAAGGAAAGGAAAAAGCTGGCGATTAATCCGTAAGTCGATTAGCGATGACCAAGGGTGTGGACGGACAAGTTTTTCCTCTCGCTTCAGCTACAGTGTACAGTAACAAAATATCCCTTGGCACACACACTCGCTGTGTAGAAAAGTGTGTTCACGTACAGTTACATTACGTGTTGGGATCGGAGTTTTCGTATGCTGGAATGTTTGTTTGGCCCCTGGGTAATTGTTGCAGGTGCAACCAGTGCCCGAGTTGCTGGAACTGAGTCGTCGGTCGTGGGGAGCCCCGTTGGAGGACGACACGCGCGGCGAGCTGGACGACGCGTACATCAGGAACGGCACGTTGCGCCGCTCGGGCTCCAAGAGACGCCTCATGACGGCCCAAGTGAGTATTTAACTCATAATTTTTTTTCTTCTCCTTGTTCCGTCTGTCTGTCTGTCTGTCTGCTTTCTGGAATTCTTGTCATTTTCGCGGGAAAGAATTTTGATGGCCTTCACACAGCACGTGGGGTGTGAAGAAGGAAATATCGGATTACAGTATTTCCATTCCGCGCGCGAAAAGGGGGGGGACAAATTGACTTCTTCCCTCTGTAACGAGTTTGCTTTGCTTCGAAAAGCAAAGCAATCGTTCTTGGGAAGGTTTGGTAGTTTTGGCTGAATGGATACCAATTTAAAAATTGATCTTCAAGATTTTGAGGAATGTGATGGAAATCCGCTGTGCAGTAGAAACTGTGCTCTATATGTTCACTGCTTGTTGTGATTTCATCCAGTATATATTTTTGTAGCGTCGTTACTTGGACTTTCGAATTATATGTGTGTCGTTATTCGCGAAAGAAATGAGGGGGGGTTTCCAAATTCTTGGGTGTACGAGAAAACCCAAGGAAGTCGATAGATCATCAAAACCGACGAGATGAACAAGAATAATTGAAGGCGTGTTTTTTGTGTGGTATTGTTGGAGTGGGATTTTCTTTGTAAATAAAATAATGCAAAAAGAACGAGAGGAAGAGGAAAAATTCCATCCTTGTTGACGCGGGATTCCGTTTGCATCGGTATTCGAACAAAGGGTCGCTGGTTGGTTTTGCGTTTTCTTTGCCATTACAGATTTGCAGTAGTGTATCATCATTATTATTGTTATTTTTGAGAGGGAGAGAAAGAGGATTATAAAATGCATTCATGGCTGACTCGGGTTGCACTCCAAGTGGGCGAAAACCTGTGCGTGTGGAGTGACTGCTTGCCTGCCTGCCTGCTTGGTGGGTACGTAACTCGACCGCTTTCCATTTATTTGTGGGCGCCGTGTTGGAAATGCTCTTGGGATTCATCAAATTGCATTCCAACATCCATCCATCCATCCATTCGTCGAGCAAATGCCGTTTGAGATGCGTTTATTATACTGTACAGTACAGTATTTGCTTATGAATTATTATTTTGCGCTTTTATCATACATGCTTGGTTTTCTACTTT